GTTTCTAATTATTTCATGAAATGGAAAAAAGCAAAAATGGTGCATTTTTGCAAAACCGCACTTAGTTTTTATCTCATACGTACAAAACCGATAGAGTAACAGACTTTAAGCTGTCACCGCTGCATAGAGCATTTAAGTGGGTCTATTTTAATATAAAACATCGTTTTACAAAAGTTCCTAATTTTATCAGGAAATGGAAAAGGGCAAAAATGGTGCATTTTTGCAAAACCGCGCTTAGTTTTTCTCTCATACTTAGAAAACCGATAGAGTAACAGACTTCAAGTTGTTACCACTGCATAGAGCATTCAAGTGGGACTGTTTTCATATAAAACATCGTTTTCCAAAAGTTCCTAAATATTTCAGGAAATAGAAAAGGGCAAAAATGGAGCATTTTTGCAAAACCGCGCTTAGTTTTTGTCTCATACGTAGAAAACCGATAGAGTAACAGACTTTAAGTTGTCACCACTGCATAGAGCATTCAAGTGGGACTGTTTTGAGATAAAACATCGTTTTACAAAAGTTCACAATTATATCAGGAAATGGAAAAGAGCAAAAATGGTGCATTTTTGCAAAACCGCGCTTACTTTTTGTCTCATACCTAGAAAACCGATAAAGTAACAGACTTTAAGTTGTCACCACTGCATAGAGCATTCAAGTGGGTCTGTTTTCATATAAAACATCTTTTAACAAAAGTTTCTAATTATTTCAGGAAATGGAAAAAAGCAAAAATGGTGCATTTTTGTAAAACCGCGCTTACTTTTTGTCTCATACTTAGAAAACCGATAGAGTAACAGATTTTCAGTTGTCACCACTGCATAGAGCATTCAAGTGGGTCTGTTTTCATATAAACCATCGTTTTACAAAAGTTCACAATTATTTCAGGAAATGGAAAAGAGCAAAAATGGTGCATTTTTGCAAAACCGCGCCTAGTTTTTGTCTCATACTTAGAAAACCGATAGAGTAACAGACTTTAAGTTGTCACCACTGCATAGAGCATTCAAGTGGGTCTTTTTTCATATAAAACATCGTTTTTCAAAAGTTTCTAATTATTTCATGAAATGGAAAAAAGCAAAAATGGTGCATTTTTGCAAAACCGCACTTAGTTTTTATCTCATACGTACAAAACCGATAGAGTAACAGACTTTAAGCTGTCACCGCTGCATAGAGCATTTAAGTGGGTCTATTTTAATATAAAACATCGTTTTACAAAAGTTCCTAATTTTATCAGGAAATGGAAAAGGGCAAAAATGGTGCATTTTTGCAAAACCGCGCTTAGTTTTTCTCTCATACTTAGAAAACCGATAGAGTAACAGACTTCAAGTTGTTACCACTGCATAGAGCATTCAAGTGGGACTGTTTTCATATAAAACATCGTTTTCCAAAAGTTCCTAAATATTTCAGGAAATAGAAAAGGGCAAAAATGGAGCATTTTTGCAAAACCGCGCTTAGTTTTTGTCTCATACGTAGAAAACCGATAGAGTAACAGACTTTAAG